AGATGTTAGCTCGCCCGGAGTCTGGACGTCTCTGCGCCCCGAGACGCCTTCGCTCCTTTCTATTAGGAGCGAAGCCAGATGCAGCTCCCACCTCTGCAACTGAAGGTATTTGGATTTAAAATTATAAGCAGACAGAACTATGCAGGAGTTTGGCAACATAATGTTTTTTTTTCGAGACTTTGACTCTGAAAATTATTAACATCTTTTTTGATTTTGTGATGATTTAAAATGAGAGAAAATGGCCACGGATCTGCCGTTTCTCTGGATTACTTTCGCTTTTCACTTTTACTCTCGTCTGGTTATCAACAGGATAAACATACATTGTTGCTTCTCCGGTTCTGGAAAGTTTTAACCTCAATGAATTTATGATGCTTACTGATTGGTGACATTAATATTGTTACTCTTTTTGATGATACTTAAAGAAATTTGAAGAATGTTTTTAAAATGGCTCCGGAACTGAGGGAAAAAAGAAAAAAAAAAGTGAGAAAGTAATTTTCTTTGTTTTTACTTTTTGGTCGTTGCCTGGGATTTATTGAAAATGCCTCTATCTTTGATCATAAATGATGTACAAGATGCTGTGATGCAAGTAGTCAAGCAATATAGTGTGGAAATTAAAGATATCTGGATGAAGAGATTGGAAGAAATGGTGGCATTTATCCTTCAGAGGTTTATAGCAGAGGCTGAAGAAGGTGTGAAGGAAATGAGCAAAATCGTGGAGATTTGGAAATCGATAAGTCTGAGAAGCTGGGAAAGGAAGTGGTAATAGACTTGGTTATGGTTTTGGTGTACTTTCCTGATGAAATTTTGGGGAAAAAGCGTTTATATGGAATTAATCTATGGGTCCAGCATCGGAGAAAACCAGCTGAAGATGTTGCTGCTTGGGTTTTTGGAAGAAGCTTACAGGCTTACTACTTGCAAAAACTTCAGACACGTTACAAAATATAAAAGGCACAAGGCGTAAAAGGCTGAAGGCTTATTGACTTTGACTGATTGTGTATTAATGATGTGAAAAAGAATGAAAAATTGGGAAGAAATGTAAGACGGAGAGTTGGGGGAAAAGGAGTACTTTTGAAGCTTATGTTTTTAAACTTTTGGATTAGTAAAATATTTGTTGGAATTTAAGATGATTAAGGATATATATAAATATAATTGTATTATTTTAAAGGATTTAAAAATAAGATATTAGATGATTAATATTATATATGTATGCAAATATATTATTTTAAAGAATTTAAAAGTTGCATTTATTGGGATTAAGGTGTAAAAGGTTGAAGGTTTATTGATTTTGACTGATTTTGTATGTGAAAAAGAATGAAAAATTGGGAAGAAATGTAAGATGGAGAGTTGGGAATAAGGAATGCTTTTGAAGTCTATGTTTTTAATCTTTTGGGTTAGTAAAATGTTTGCTAGAATTTAAGATGATTAAGGATATATATATATAATTGTATCATTTTAAAGGATTTAAATAAGAAAAATAAGATATTAGATGATTAATGTCATATATGTATGCAATTATATTATTCTAAAGAATTTAAAATTTGTATTTACTGGGATTAGGATATTTGAATGATTATAAGAGAAATGGTAGAGTTTATTTTTTAGATGTTTGGATTTGGGGAAGATGGATAATTTTGTTTTGAGTTTTGAGTTAAAATAGAGTATAACTTTTGTTTTTTGTTTTTTAATTATTTGAGTTAAAGTTTTTTTTTAACTGATTGCTTTAGGAGGTGTTGAATCCTGTATTAGTTCTGGGAAGTCAGGGAGGGGAGGGGTTTAAGGGGAAATTATAAATTGATGTAGTTAATAATTATAACTATATAATGGAATTGTAATAATAAGAGGATATTCCCGGCTGGTTCCCCAAATTGCACTCGATGTGGTGGTAAGAATGCGGAAGGGATGTAGAAGTGGTAGGAGGAAAGAGGAGAGGTTGTGGGGCTAGGGGGAGGAAAGAGAGGGAAAGTGGATAAGGGTGGAGGCAAGGCGGGGACTGCCGGGAGTATCCGGAAACATTGTAAGATATTTTTTTTTGGTGGTGTTTGTAGATGCATCATTTGTATTTGTTCTTTAATTCAAAATAATAAAAAAAATTTATAAAAAAAAAACAGCACTAAAGCCTGATTCCACAAGATATGAGGTAGGGAAATGTATCAATAAACTGAATATCATTTTCCCCATATTTGGATATAAGACAGGCATTTTTTTACTTTGCCATAGGTTTTCATATCCACCACTATCAAATTTATGTTTACTTTCTTCATCATATCTAATTTCTAACAGTTCTTCTTGGCAAGTTGTATCAGCCTCTTCAATATTTGCGGTAAAAGGATTTTTCATCCAGTCATACACCTTTAATTGCAAAATATCTTCAAATCGTTTTTCCATGTCCAATTTAAGTTCGTTGAGGTGGCTACTGAATCTGTCAATATCCTCTGGAGTTACATCATCTTTTATCGATGATAATTCAGGAAACTGATGAAATTCTCTCTTCAATAGATTATAACGAAGTAGTTCAAGTTTGTCAATAAATAATGACACAATACTTTGGCAACCTATAAGAGTTTTATTAGCTCCTTGAAGTTGCAAATTGACATCATGAAATCTCTTGAAAATATCTGTCAAATAAAAGGCATCATTCTTTACTGGTTTTAATTGTTGACACAGATCGGTCTCATTATTACTTTCAAAAAATTGTATGACACTATCATATAATGCTACAAAATGAGCCAAAGATGTACCCTTTGACAGCTACCGAACTTCTGTGTGCAAAAGTAACGTAATAAAATCTTTATTATTGTCCTGGCAAAGCTGTCGAAACATTCTATCATTTTTTGCATTGGATTTGATATTGTTTATGGCTCGAATTATTATAGTTAATGATGAATGGAGACTTGTACTTAGATGTTTTCCTACAAGATGTTGTCTGTGCACCACACAATGAATACATAAAACATTTGGCACTTCTTCCTTCAAATAAGCAACAAATGCACAATAGCGACCTACCATTGATGGTGCTCCATCAGTAGCGCATGCAACAATATTATTCAAAGGAATATTATTTTTTGTAAAGTATAATTTCACAGTATTAAATATAGATAATCCTCTTGTATCTGTAATGAGATTTATTGCGAATAGCATTTCTTCTCATAATGTATTGTTTTCATCAAAATAATGTACATATGCCATCAATAAAGTATTATTACCTGCAATGGTAGACTCGTCCAATTGCATGGAAAATGAAGAGTTTTGGAGAATACTTATCAGGTTTTTTTTTCAACATTAACTGCCATTTCTTCAATTCGTCGCTTTACTGTGCTATTGCTTAGGGGCAACGTTTTTAAAATTTCAGGTATATCCTGATGCATTACTGTTGAGATAAATTCTTTTATAGAGGGTATTATTACAGTTTCTCCAATATTATAGCTTTTACCACTTTTTGCAATTAATTGTGAAATGCGATAAGCAGCAATTAATCCATCTTCATTCGCTTCATTGGATAATGTTTTATGACACAATAAACACATTGGATGTTGTTTATTTACAACAGATTCTATGATACCCATCTTCAGATACTCTGGCAAATAGCCACGAGCATATTTCTTTTTTTGAGACATGGACTCACAATATTTTGTTTGAAGCTGTAGGCATGTGCTCACTCTCACAAATCTAACTGCGTACTGACCAGTGTGACCGCAAACAAAAGAGCCTGCGCCATGTATCGTCGTCTGCGCATGCCTCTCGCGCATCGTGGATTAGGTTTGGGGGGGCGCCGGCTACCAGCTCTGCTTGTCTGTTACAGCTGGGTGGTGTGGGGGGAGATGCGCGAGCTATTCTGAGACGAGGCTCTTTTGCTTGAGGTCGCACTATAGCACCATTTAATTTCACTTATGTAACGTGAACTAAACTTATGTGCTGATGATAAAAATAGTATATTTTCAGAAATTTAAATTGTCACAGGGAATTTTATGAAAACCTAATGAAAATGTTTTTAAATAATGCTATGAAATTTTTTTAAAAAGTCAATTAAATTAAAAAAAGGAAAGTGCTTCAGTATCGGACAAAAACCCTACCGCCCACCATGAAAGCTGGAACACCCACTAGTGGGCAGTAGGGACCAGGTTGACTACCACTGACCTAGACTGTGAATGAAGTAATTTCTTCATATCAAGCCTTGTACTGGGAGAAATGTTTAATTAGGAATGAGTCCACAATAAGAAAGGAGGATTCATGCAATCCTACCATCTTTGTAATTAGCTTTATAGCAGCTGTCTCTGGAAAGCCTCTGCCTTTATTTTTATTTGCGCATCTTGTAAGTGGTATTTGGAGACTCATTCCTTCCAAACTGGGAGGCTATCTTTAGCTGAGTAGTCTGCCAAGTAGCCTCAATCCGTGAATTCATTTTAAACCCCTTTTAAAGTTATCGTCGTTCAATTCCGTGAATTTCATTAAATTAAATGATATTAATTTCTGAATAGATATATACAGGTCTGTATTTGAAGCCTTTTAAAGTATTGGTTGTCAGGATTGCATCATCTCTTTCAATGGCTCTGGGAAAAGCCCAAGTCTAGCAACCAGCAGTTAAGTTTCGACTTGTTGTGTCATTAACAGCTGATACCCATCAGCTTCATTCTTCACTTTAACTGCCTTTCCTACCTTCTTAGAGTAGCGGCATAGCTATTTACATACAAGCTCAGAACGACGGGAGCGTTCTTTCTACGTCCCAAGGCCTTGACTAAACTGAGTGGCTGAGTTTCGCCAGATCCCGCCTTTTCATCGTCGGGCTACTGTCACGCCACCGCCCCGTTTTCCCCTTTGCTTCAGTTCTTCCTCCGGACTGGAGATAGGGAGGCGGCCGCCAAGCTGGGCCCGCGAAGAGTTGGTGAGGGGCGGGGCCTTGCTTGCTGGGACCGCCCAGAAGGAAGCCTCGCCGATTCTTGGAGGCGGCGCATACCCTGATTTGTATAGTCGGTCCCGGCGTTTCTCCTTCATTTTCGATCGAACCATTAACGTTTTGGCGTTGCAGCCATGCAAAGAGTAGCTATAGTCACCGGCGCCACCAGGTGAGAGCGGATCGCTGAGATAAAGACTGGAAGGGCGGGGGGAGGATTTAATCTGTTTATGTAGTTAATTTGAAAGGATGTGCCGGTCCCATAGAAGACGATACGGCAGGAGTAGCACGCTTACATCCAGTGGGATGATGGGTAAAAGGGTAGGATCGGTGGGAACTTGAAAATATTTTACTCTGTTGAATTATGCCCCGGCTACATTTTTTACATTCTTTTAATATTTTAATTTTTGTTGACTGGCTTTTAAGAACAACCTGCTTTGTGCTAACCGTCCTCTTCAAAGCTCGGTAAAGTGAAGGGGCTCTGTGGGACAGGGATAAATGCGGTGAAACAGAATTAAATTGCATATATTAGTATAATAAATTAAAGAATGTCTTGCTATTTTTCGTTCTTGTCACCTAGCTTAATGTCTTTGCATCCCTTAACGAAAAGCAGGATAAAGGCAGAACAACTTGACTTTTTACTGACTGATAGCTAGAACACGATATTCATGTTACTTGTCTTTCCATAAGTGAAAAGGTTAGAGACTCAATAAATAATTGGATCTTAAAAGAAGGGATCCGATAGTTGCAGTTTTGTGAAAAAATATTAAAGTGTTTGGGTGTTTTTCTACACGATAAAGTTTTTTTAAAAAAAAACTGAGTAAAAAGAAGAAATTTCTCTTAACACTGTAACTTGGAGTCATCAAATTAAGTAGACTGGCAAAAGATTTAAGACCAATAAAATGAAATACTTTTTCCAACTGCATAACTCAATGATCATATTTGCCTCCACCACCTAGACAACTAGTTAAACTAAGGATTCAGAGAAAGGGGTTTTTTTCTGCTGCACCTACCCTGGTTCCCAAATTTGTAATACTGATCTCTTTCCCAGGATGCACTTAAAAGTCTCATTCAGGTCTCTTTGTGAGGGATAAGGGGATACAGTATATTACCTGTAAAAGAAATATGTTCCTGCTTTAGAAGGCAATATTTTTGAGCCTTTGCAATTTTAGTTTTGAAATCAGGCAAGGCAGAATGTTCGCAAGTTATTCTATAAATGGAACCAGAGGCTACTTTGTAGAAGGGAAAATTTTCTGAGTGAAGGGAAGAGTCCACAGAGTGAAGATGCTTTGTTAGAGGACTTCATAACCAATAAGGCAATCCTGCCCCATGTTTTGATGCCATTTTGCCTATAGTGTCTTGAACTAAGAAGCAAGACCTGTGAGTAGCTGGAAAGTAGACTTGTCTGTATACTCTCATTCCAGACTCTCCTTTTCCAGAACCATCATAAACCCCTCAGGTCATCCTTGTCAGTCTGATATGGATTGGTGATTCCCTTTTCCATTATAGTCTGCTTGGCAAAGAAATTTCATTGATTGTATATGTGAAACGAGCAGCAGATGGCTTATCTTGGACTATTTGGATTTTACGTTTCTCCTTACCAATTTTTTTTGTTTCTGGAATGACACAGTTATATTTGTCAGATATTAGTGGTGCTAATTGTGTGTGTAGATTCTGAGTCATCCAGGTTATTAAGTTCATTTCTAAAGTTAAAACTGAAGAAGCTTCTTGGATAACAAGTGAAACATTTTAGAAGAAAAAGCCAAGAAAGACCTGTTACCTTTTGGAAAAAGGTCTTTTGGAACTACTGATACTAATATGCCCCACAACTAATTATTCATGTCTAGCTTTAACAACCCTCTATATGCTTGTCACACTATTGCATCAATCTGTATTTCTAATGATATCCAGTTCTTTGGCTAATGAGCCAACAGCTTTCTATCAAATATAGTAATGGCAGATAAATCTTTTGTGCAAGTCTGTTGGATCTGTACCCAAAGAATTGGGTGATCCCTTATAAATAAGGTTTTTTTCTTCATTATAACAATGTCCTACCTTCCCAACATTCACATTCATCATATCTACACAATAATAGTGAGAGTATTTGTCACATGAAAGGAGAACAGGGATGCACTGTAAGCTGGATCCCTTTCCAAGATCCTCTTCTGCATGCTAAATGAAGTCATTGAGGACTAAGTAAAGCCACCAGTGAAGACATGTTTTGGGGTCTGCTGGATCACTGTTCCTACCCTACTGTATCTCAGAACTATTAATTTATAAAATCTCTTTTAACACCTCTAGGAAAATCACTTTGGTATCAATGGAATGCATACATTTAGGGAGAGATACCAGGGAATATACTTTTTCAACTGTTGCATAATGAATTTCATAGAGGGTTGATAGTGATACTCTATGACAGGCCTTAACTGTATGTTGTTACTCTTGCAGTGGGATTGGTTCTGCGCTGTGTGAACGTCTGCTCCAGGAAGATGAAAACATCCATCTCTGTTTAGCCTGTAGAAATATGGAAAAAGCCAATGCCACCCGTGACAACCTATTATCTTCCTTCCCCCGTGCACACATCAGCATTGTTAAAATAGATGTTGGCAGGCTGGAATCTGTCCTACATGCAGCTCAAGAAATAAAGATAAGGTATAGGGAGGAGAAGGGCAATTAGATGAGTAGTTAGAAGCAATATATGGGGGGGGGGGATTGCTCCTATATGTAGCTCAGGAAATCCTGCTCAATCAGTTCTCCAGGATAGATTTCTAAGTCATACTCATATTGCATATTTCTACAATAAGTTAATCTTGAATAATTTCTCAAGTAGTGGCTATATTAAGGATACCAGTCATTTTTTCAAAGCAGACTGAAACATTCAGTAGCAGAAACAAGTCAGGACCAGTCACAAAATGACAGTGAGAGGAGGCAATGGAGTCCTTGCACTATTTCTTCTGCAAACAACTGAGAACCTTGACTAGCAAAAAAGCAATAGAACAATGGGAGAAAGGAAAGGGCATAGCTACAAAGCATGCTTTTTGCTGGTCCCTTAACTGCAATTAATTCTAATTTTACTTTTAGGCTTTAAGCAGTAGTTGTTTTAATATAAAATGGCTGGTGCTGATTTTTCCCCCCTCTTCACTGACCTAGGATGCTTTTCTTATGGAGTATGAATTATGGAATATGTAAAAATTGCTGCCATAAGATAACTGGAGAATTGTTAATCCAAGCTTTTCTTAACTGTTTTGGACCAATAACAAAGATAATTGTGCTTATGTAGAATGTGAGTAAATAGATCATTTGGGTATCCTTTATAAATATTGGAAGTTCGTCCCCATCAGTGCCAAGAAGAACGTCTAATGGTGTATTGTAAGAACCATAATCGCACTGCTTAATGTCTAAACATGTCCTCGTACAGTTGACAGAATCAAGTAGTAATACTTTTCCTGGACTCTTTGTCTTCAGGCATTTATGTTTAAATGCTCTGTTAAGAGAAGAAAACTAATTTTCCTAAATGTGAATGCAAGACAAAGGTTTTTTTGTTTTGTTTTGTCTTCCTGCTCAGTGAGAGGTCATTCTAAGATCAGCCTTCTGCTTTCTCTCTGAAACAGTTCAGTTAAGCATAAATATGAACACTTAGTCCAGAAATTCCTCTTTGAGGAAGATATGGTGTTATTAGATATTACATATTGACGTATTGCATTTCTAGATTAGTTATGTATTTAAGCCTTTTAAGTTAAAGAGGGTTTTTGTTTTTGGCAAGGCATTTTGGAGACTGCCTGAGTTTTCTTGCAATAACCAGGTTTTACCTTCATTGTATAGATTTCACCGATTGGATTATCTCTTCTTGAATGCTGGGGCCATGGTCAATCCACATATCAGTTTCTGGGCATTTTTACGTGGCCTCTTCTCCAGGTATATTATATAAGCTGGGTTAATTGTTCTTTTTCTACATGACTCCGAAAAATTCCTTCCTTCCTTCCTTCCTTCCTTCCTTCCTTCCTTCCTTCCTTCCTTCCTTCCTTCCTTCCTTCCTTCCTTCTTTCCTTCCCTATAGGGATCAACCATTTATATTGCCAACAGCAATTTCGATAGAGGACACTAGCCAATTGTATGTTACAGAAAAATACAAGTGGCTCACTTTTTGTTATTTTCACTGAAGTCTTGGGGAGCATCTAAAGCTTTACCAGAGATTGCTACACATCATTGCTTGAGATGATGGAATATTTTGGATTATAAATCTTTGATTGATGAACAATTTTTACTATAAAGTCCACCTACAAAAAATAAAATGGATGTCCCATACTCAGTTTTAAATGGTAAAAAAACATCCCTAACATCTGTCCCCAAAGTCTTCAGTTTGATATACCACCAAGAAAATATGGATGAAAATCAGAAAGAAATTCTCTCCATGTTGAAATCAATACAAGAGACTATTGCTTTAGCTCGTGATGAGACTAAAATAACACAAGATAAAAGAACAATTTTCTAACCTAAACAAACCCAGAAAATGACTACAAAGAAGGAACTAGCAACTCAGGAAATAGAAGGAAAACTAGAGGAAGCAGATCCAAAGATGGAGGACCTAAAGGAAGGAACTAACAGACAGACTCAGACAACTGAAGAACTAGAAGACGTAGCCATCTTACCAATCAAGATTTCAGAACACATTTGAGGAAAAAGAAGAATAACTGATTGAATGGAAGATAGAGCTGTTAGGAGAACTCTGGGGAATTGGAGAAGGAGGGAGGCTGTTTAATGAATATTAATATTGGCTGAGAGTTCTTCCAAAAATACAAATAGTCTTTTTTATTCCAAACTATATACACAAAAACAGAGGAAGAATTACTTGATGATTCAAATGCATTGACTTGGAAAGTTAGTTGGCAAAGGAAGAAAGCTAGAGTAAGACTGAAGAAAATAGAGGTTTTGACTCATTAGTTGGGACATTATACTATTAATTAGATGTTTGAATATGATGGAGAATAGATAATTGCTAGAAATAGAAGTATTATTATAACTAGAAAGATAAGATTTGTAATTAGAATATTAAATTTTGGTGTGAGAAGGGAAAAAGGAAAATGCTAAATAGTTTGAATAAGGGAAGTTTTTGGTTACCCAAATATAACTTATTTGGAATGATAAATAATAGAGACATTTTGAACACTGATGAAAAATTAAAAATTAAAAAAAAGTGAAAACAGGATATTGATTGAACATACGGATGTTAAGTGCAAATGCAATTAGGATATGTTTTGGTTAGAAAAGATATTTTAAACTGACATTATTGATATTATTAGAAAAATGTAACAAAGATGTTGATATTTAATTGTATATTTACTAATAACAAGAATTGTATTTGTAAATATACAATTAAATATCAACATATTTAAAGAAAGATATATTTTGGTTTGGAGAAGATGGATAGATTATATTGAGAACAAATATGGAACTAAAAAGTTTCATTTGGTTTTTGAGTAAATTTTAGATTGTTAATGTAGTTTATTTCTTTTTAATTAGTAATAAGATGTTATAATTATAGTGTTTAATATGTCTGTTTAGAAGAGAGTTAAAGGATGTTATAGAATTGTTAATTGAATAGTGATATAATGTAAGATAGAGTATACTTATTGTATNAAATATGGAACTAAAAAGTTTCATTTGGTTTTTGAGTAAATTTTAGATTGTTAATGTAGTTTATTTCTTTTTAATTAGTAATAAGATGTTATAATTATAGTGTTTAATATGTCTGTTTAGAAGAGAGTTAAAGGATGTTATAGAATTGTTAATTGAATAGTGATATAATGTAAGATAGAGGATATTTATTGTATTGTTAACTCTGTGATTTGCTCTGGGAAGTCGGGGGGAGGGAGGGGGGTGGGGAAGGGTGGGTTTCGGGGAGGAGGGGAGTTATATTGTAAAACTTTTAAAAATTTTCAATAAAAAAAAGAAAAAAAAGAATTGTATTTGCCTAGTGTGGGAAAACAGGTACTATCGGAAGAAGAGAGGAAACATTTGATGGTGTAATATTGGATCTAGACTGAAGAAGTTAATTACTAATGGACCCAGACAACACGTTGTTTATTAAGTATTTGACTGTAAAACTAGAAAATTAATAAAATATTTATAAAAATAAATAAATAAAACTTTACCAGAGATTGCTAATGGTCAAGTTTAAAAATTCTAGACAGGAGTTAAGGAGTCTGCCAATTCTCACAATAACAACAAGGAAAAATCAGACCGCTACACAAATGCAAGGAAATGATATTTTTGGTAATGATTAAAGGTTCGAGTCATTTCGTTGGTAAAATTAAATGTAATGTCTTATCTTCTTTTCAGCAGAGTATTTCGAATGCTCTCCACTGCAGAGGGGCTGATGACCCAGCAGGACAGGGTCACTTCAGAAGGCCTGCAGGAAGTCTTTGCAACCAACTTCTTTGGACATTTTGTATTGGTAGGGAAGTTTGAAGCAAGTGCTTGTATGTCTCGTAGTTTCGACTCCTGAAACTAGGCATGTCATCATAGCATTGATTTTGTAAAATTGCTGTTTCCCAGTTCTATAGGCTTGAGATCTTCTATAGAGGGGTGTCAAACTCAATTTCATTGAGGGCCGCATCAGCATTGTGGTTGCCCTCGGGAGGGGGGGCGGTTGGGTGTGGCTAGCATGGGTGTGGCTGGGGTAGGCATGGCCAGCTCGACATTGCTCACGTCGGATGCGTGTGCAGGCCTGGGGTGGATCCAAGGGTCTCCGGTGGAGGAGGGTGGGACCAGGGTGAGCGCTGGGACATGGTCCACTGGAGAAGCCTCACCGTCCCTCTCAGGCCGTGCTGGGGGGGCCCGGAAGATGGCACGGGCTGCCCAGAGCCTTGGGCAGCAGAGGTCAAGCGCCCAGCCCTTGAGTTCAAGGACCCCACAGCCTAGCCTAGCCTAGCCCCATTTCCCCAAGGGGCCACCCAGCTGCCTCCTCCTCGAGGCTGCTGCTGCTGTGTTTGCTCTCCTTGGCCAAGTTGCTCATGGTGTTGCGGGAGGGCAAAATGTGTGGGTCAGAGGGAAGCCCACTCCCTCTCCATGCGAGGAGACCCAGCTTTGTAACCAAAGCATCCTCAGCGATAGGATGGGAGACCACCAGGAGAGGTCAGGAGGAGGGGACAAGGGGATGGCGAAAGGGCAGCAGGGTTGCTCGGGGCCAAGTGCTAAGGCAGGCGTTCCCTCAGACCCTTCCTCCCTCTCATTATAATCTACCTTACTTCCTTTCCTCCTTTCTTCTTTTTCCTTCCCTCTTCATTCTCCTTTCCTTCTTCTTCTTTCCCCTCTTTCTTTCTTTTTGTTTGTCTTTCCTCTTTCCCTTTCTCCTTTCCTGTCCCTTGTTGGATGCTCAAATGCAAAAGAGGGAACATTTCTCGATGCCTCCTTGCCTTGTGATCAAATGCCACTTTTGCTAGTAGTCTGTGGCCACTTAAAAAACAGAGAACAAACCAGGCTCAGTTTATCCCATGCTTGCATGTAGTGGGGGCATCCATAGACAACAGTACAGCAGAACTGTCAAAATGGTGGCTGTGATAGTTGATCAGAGCTTCTCTGTTTTTTATGGGCAACAGCTTTAACATTTAGGAACAGAGGTAAGTTAGTTGCTTTTCTATTAATACATAATCCTTAAAAGAGCTCTCCTGAAGGGACTCTGCCATGGTCTAATTCCGACTGGAAATATAGCAAAGGAAAATATTTTCCCCTACTCTGCTTTGTCCTGTTTTCCCACTGGAAATGGCTATTTGCAACACACAAGGAAGGGATACTTTCCTAAGGGTTCACAATTCAAGAATACCAGTGTTAACTTGGATTGCCAATAAAGTCCTGTCTGTGACAAAAGAGAACACAAAATTGCTTTCTCCTTTGAGCCCAAGTCTCAATGGATCCAGGATTGAAGCAGAACTGTGTGAACTGGGGCATCTTCAACCAAGTTGCCTCTCCTTCTTTCCTTCCTTTTTTCCCTCCCTCCCACCCTCCGTTCCTCCATTCCTTTCTCCCTCTCTTTTTTCCCTCCCTCCGTTCTTCCCTTCCTCCGTTCCTTCCTCCCACCCTCTGTTCCTCCCTCCCTTTTTCCCTTCCTCCCTTTTTTCCCTCTCCCTCCCACCCTCCCTTCATTCCTCCCTTCCTTCCTCCATTCGTTCCTTTGCCTTCTCATCTCTTTCCTTCCTCCGCGCTCAGGAAGGGGTGATGGGAGGGGGAGAGATTGCCAGCGCTGTGGGTGGGTGGGGGCAGTCCCCTCATGGTTGCGAGGCTGGAGATGCTGGGGAGGGGTGCTGATCTACAACCTGGTTGCGTCTATCAAAGCCAGAATGCGCTCAGCCTTAGATCCACCAGGCAGCCCTGGAACCAGCAAGGAGCTGCCCCACCGCCTCTGTCCTGTCCTCTGGGTGTACGCACAGGAAAAAGCCGGTGTCCTGGGTGAAGTCAGCCTGCGGGGCAAGACAGCCAACAGGGATGCTGGACTCCGCTTGCGCACATGCCCAGGGGACGGGACTGGACGGGGCTGCCCCGTGGATCTAAGGCTGAGTGCATTCTGGCTTTGATGTTTGACATGTCTGTTCTATAGGCTTGGTTTGTTTACTTTCAGATCCGGCAGCTGGAGCCTCTGCTGTGTTGCCTTGAAAAACCTTCCCAGCTCATCTGGACTTCTTCAGTCAGTGCTCATAAGTCTAACTTTAATCTTGATGACATCCAACACAAGCAGGGCAAAGAGGCCTACAGCTCCTCTAAATACTGCACTGATCTTACAAGTGTGGCTTTAAACAACCATTTCAACAAGCAGGTGAGGCCCAGCTCTTCCAATAGCGGACCACAACAGAAACATCAAAGAACAAGTATGCTGTCCATGTGGCTGGAAAGATAAGAGTCAAAGTTTGTAAATAATGCATAATTGAGATTTCTAAATCTTCAGAGACAGAGAAGGGGCAGCTTTATAGATTTCAATACCTTATAACATCGGCCTCCATAGCAACTAATAGAATCAAGTAAGGTGTTGTAAACAAATGTGCATATTTCAGATAAGCCTGGAGAGCAATTTCATTCTATTCATTCATTCTCTATTGGCCTCAAGGCCAAATACCTCCCTTTTACTCCTCTGCTGTTTATATCCATGAAAAGCAGAAGAGACCATTTTGGAAAAGGAAGCTTAGAAAAATATTTATTTCCTTCTTTGGGTGTGTATTAGCCAACAGGCATAGGTGAGCATGACTATGAGTAGTGTGATTATATTTTATATGATGAACTTCTCTCCACCTCCCATCTCTTCCCCTCTCCCCTTTTTCCTCAACTAGGGTTTATTTTCAAGTGTCATGTGTCCAGGTATTGTAATGACCAATCTGACTTATGAAATGATGTCCCCTCTGTTATGGAAGCTGTTTTTCCCTTTCTTCTGGCTGGTAAGTGCCTTTTGAAGTATTATTGCACCACAGAGGTAAAGTTGAAGGAAATAAGGATTGATTCAATTTCACAAAGAATCCTAGGAAAAACTGAATTTGCACACCCAGGATTCAGCATAATGTAAAAAATACAAAAAAATTATGCTTACAATCTCTTATACAGGCATAAACTACTTCGTACCTGCAGGTGCCAGTATGTTCCTAAACACCGATGCCCAACAGATTCTCTGCCCTATTGACTTTGTAAAGGAATTCTTTGCAAATAGAAGCTGGCATATTGCCAAGGGAGGCAATTGTCTTTAGAAACATATTTATTAAGAAGTCTACCTTTCTTTGCAAAAGTTTCCATTGAGGTGATGGTTCTGGCTTATCTTCCAATAAATGGATGCTTTGTTATGGCTGTATCCATTGTGGCAAGGTTCCCATGGTGGCCATTTTGTGATTACATCCAGTATATCAGAGGTCTCCAACCTTTCTGGGCTTGCGGCCTGCAGGGAAGGAAAGTAGTTTCCAAATTGGTGCGCGCATGCACACGCACGCAAACAGGGCCATGCAGCATTGGCAGCCCCATTCATACATGCAGCATGCGCTGGTGCCGTACACATGTGTGAACAGGCCGCACAACCCACCCTGTGCTAGTGATCCCGTTCACGCATGTGCAAATGGGCAGCACACACCCACTTGGAGCTAGTGGCCCCGTTCGCACCCGCGCACATGCAGCAATGAGGCCGTGGGCACTAGCGCAAGTGGGGAATGCGCACCCACATGTGCACGCATGAGCCAGCCATTTCCACGGCCCGCTGGCCAAGAGCCGCGGCCCATAGGTTGGGGACCCCTGCACTATATGATGTTAAAATTCCAACTAGTTTCTTAGCTCAGAAAGGTTGCCCATCCATCGTATACAGTAGTACCCACAGTGCAAATCCTATTTGAGAATTTTCTTACTGGAATATTAGAACGGCTAATATTCAGTGAAATTGTGAAACTGATTCCTTTGAAACAGATTTTTTTAGTTTAGTGTGTTTTCAAGGGGGAAGAAAATGTTAACTTCTTGCTTGTTTTGCTCTACCAGTTACGCCTGTGCACCCCTACATATACTCTGGCACCATACAATGGAGCAGAAGCACAGGTAAAATACTATTAGATATATCCATGGCTCAGGGCACCTTCACATCCATTTGGTTCTGTCATGTCCTATATAGATCCCATGGCTCAAAGCTGATAGCAATTTTATTGTGGTATAAAGCAAAACTCTTGCAGATATTGTGGGCTTGGTCTTCCATGTGTACTTAGCACATTTCTTTTAATGAAAAAATAGGCAGTAAAACTAGGCAAATAATCTATAAAAACAGTGTATGACATACATAAAAGATTTCTTTCCCTCACAGCTGTGGACTGCAGACTGATCTTGTAGAGTTAGAAACAGAAGTAGAACTCCAACAGTGACCAGGAGAGATGAGTTTGCATGCACCCTGAAATCAGCAAGGTTCTCTTATAACCTGAGCAATGCTTCCATCTCTTTTAACATATTGGTATTGCTTGTGTTCTAGACTGACCTGCTTATTATCTTCTTTAGCAGTTTCTCTACCATTCCTTAGATAGATCACCCTGTTCCTTGTTTTCTGTGATGAGGCTCCCAGTGCTGAGAGGCTCTCAGCACTGTCATGGAGTGTCTTGAATGGAGAGTCCATGGAATAAGAAATGTTTGGGTTCCCTTCTAGATTTGGTTGTTTAAGCAGAAGCCAGAGTTGCTGGATCCCCTGGTGAAATATCACAGTTGTACTACCATTTTGGGGAGGAATTATACTGAGAGCCGCAAGGTAAGTAAATTCCATTGAGGAAGTGATATAATAAGCACTCTTTCTGTAGGGTTGTAGGGTGCTGTGCAATACATTTCTGGACAGTTCTACAACCAGGCAGTGTAAATTAGGGATCCCACTGAGAATTACCAGAAAAACCTTTCCAGCACATCTTATAAACAATCACATAGGAAATGTTAATGAATCTGGAATTTTAGAAATTGGAGAGATATTTCTGTGTAAGCCTGTGCATATTTCTGTGCAATAATCCCCATTTATCCAAAATTTCTATCCCCCTAATTTTCTTATGTTAGACCCTAGTCACATACAGGTAGTCCTCGAGTTATGATAGGTCATTTAACAACAGTTCAAAGTCACGATAGATACCCAAAAAGTACTTATGTATGTTATGTATGTTGCAGCACGTCTGTGGTTGTTTGCCCTTACAACCGGACCAGGACTGACCGCAGAGACGCTGCAACATATCTCGTCCCACCACTTATTTCCCCCCTATCCTGCTCCGGTTTGCCATAGGCACTGAGCCTGCAGGTTATATACACTCCTGCCCACCCCCCATCACTGATCGCTCACTTACCTTTCCAGAGCTCAGGATGTCGAGGTAGAAAAAGAGGACAGACCACTCCATTATACAGCCACGTGGTGCAAAAGAAGAGTCTTTCTGAGATGCTGGCAAAGCTCTGTGTTATCAGTAAAACTCTTCCCATGCTACCTCTCCCTTCCTGCAAATGCACACGACCACATATTGCCTCTTTCTCCCAGTGAATGCAACTTCTTCCCTTGGTATCATTCTCCCTTTTCTCTCTGCAAACACACACACACCACACCGCCTCTTTCTCCCAGCAAACACACACATGCAGCAAGGAATAGTTTACCCCCACACACACACAAATCCATTCCCTGAGAGCACATAACATTTGCCTGCAGAAAGAGGGAGAGTGATAGCAAGGAAAGGAGTTTGCTGCTGTTTCTCTGAGAGAAAGAGGCAGCATGTGGCCACATGCATTTGCTGGAAGAGAGAGGCAGCATGTAGCAAGGAAAGAGTTTTGCTAAAAACTCAGAGCTTTGCCAGCATCTCAAAAAAGCTGCTTTTCTGTCATGTGGTCCAGTTAATGGAGCAGCCTGTCCTCCTTTCCCACCCTGACATCCTGAGCTCTGGAGATCTTTGAAAGGTAAATGAGCGATTGATCAGTGGTGGATGCAGGGGCTGGGTACAGAGGAGGCCCAAGTGAAGAGTGGGGGAAGGCATAGGGAGGCCAGAGGAAGGTGGGTCTTGTTCCTGCACTGCCCCCCCCCCAATTGTCTTCTCCACCCTTGATTTACCCCTCACTCACTTAACAATCCATGCATTTGTTTAACAAATACATTGAGGAGAGCTGAGGTGGAGGCTCGTTCACTTAACATGAATCACTTAATATCCTATCTTCCTACCTTAATGTGCAATTACGGTTGTAACTCAAGGACTACGTGTACACATTTTATCATTCTAAATACTATATGTGAGTTGATTTTCCTGATAACCACTCTGTCCAGATGTTGCAGACACATGTGGAAACAAGGTTCTTTAGGCATATCCCAAACTGGATCTTGAGAAATACACAAACCCAGCATTTTGAGTTTGTCTCTCCTCCCTCCAGTCTAGTTCCCTGGGATTTTTCTATTCACAGCTCTTAGGGAGAGGTTCAACTGCTGTAACATGCAGGGGTCTCATTTAATCTTGTTGCCCTCCAGCTTTCTGACATTGGATTTGCATTGCAAATACTTTCAGTGTCAAACCTACAAAACTACTTTTGGTCACAGCCATCTTTCTTCTTCATTTTTTGGCTTGCCACAACTTTGTAGGGAGGCAAAATGCATTCTTCTGTTCCAGACAAAACAATAACTTTCTTATGGGAACCAAGGTCAAATCGCTCAAGGGTTTGGCGGGTACATAATTAGTGGGTGGGGAGTATAACTTTTACTTTGTAACCTTTGGGGGGGGTGGAACTTCCAGTCTTGGTTTCACCTTTGTTCATGCTGATATTATGTAGCCATTAAAATTGTTCTTTGAGGAAAACAAATGCCTCAGAGTTCTTACTTCTTTTGGTTTCATCTATCGGAACCATGACATTCAGCTTCAGTGGTTTTTAATTGGGCAACTTCGTGGGGAGAAAAATCTCACAGAGGACAGAAGCTGAGTTAGCACCTGAAATCTCCCCCATCAATTTAATTAATTAATTAAAATTAATTTAATTTTATTTATTAAATGCATATGCATAGTTAATTATTGCCTGTTTCTTTGACTTCCAGATGGGTATTAATGAAGACACAGCAGAGAAACTGTACAAGAAGTTGTTGGAATTAGAAAAAGAAGTTTTAGTGAGCAACAATCACCCAGATAAAAAATAGCAAGACAGCTGTTCACAGGAAAATGTTTCTTCCACTTGGAACACTCTTTATTATTATTGTTTGCCTTTGCAAATCAGATTTTCCTAGGGACTGCTGTAGATGATTGTGTGACTAGAATGTGAAAGAAACTGGACAGTTGCTTGTCTGAAATGGTATAGAGTCTCCTGCTTGAGCAGGAGGTTGGACTAGAAGTCCTCCAAGGTCCCTCCCAACTGTATTCAGATTGATTGACCTTATTTCTCCTCGCAAAGGTATTTTTATAATATTTTTTTTGGCCAACATCCTAATGCTGATGCTTTTTCATTCAATGTATGCCACCCCCACCTGGGGCCTCAAGTAACCCTGCCTTGGGGCTCCAAGTACTTTGACTGTGGCCCCAAACACTGTCCTGGCATTAGATTGTATGAAAGAAATCCAAGCACCCTTCTTGGGACCCCAAAACTGGTGGGGGGGGACTGACAAACCAGTCTGGACTGACAAAGCCCAAGGAGGCACATCCTCAGCAGATTCTGTAGCTGCCGTAACAGTTTGTAGATCACTCCTCTGCTTTCTCAAGGTGGATTCAGCTGTGACAGCTTCAAGCTTATCAGTATGAGGTCTCTTGCAGCTTGGATTTAAAGCAATAGTTCCATCTGGGAGAGACTGCTCTAGGAGTGGGCATACTTTCTCTGAGCAGAAGACACATATTGGGAATATTGAAAAAATGCTCAAGAAGGGCTTCATTCTAAAAAGCATAGAGGGATAACAAAATTTCCATACATTGCCTTCTTCCTGATAACCATTCTGCATGTAGTAAATCTATCAGAGTGTATTCGCAGCAGAGCAGCTAGTTCAGAGATGGCCTAACAGCTTTTCTATCACTCCAACACCCTCTAGTTGTTCTGTTGTTGTAAATTTGCAAGGTAATCTGGTTGGTCTGCAAACAGAAGTTATTGGTCACCTCTTGGATTATCTGATTGATTGTTGTTTTCTTTATAGGTATTCTTTCCTCTCATGTTTTTGGGAGCGAGAGAAAGGCCTGCTCTGGTTTCAGTTTCTGAATTAGCCACCCATATCCATCAGTAGGTGTCCTCCTGGGTCCTTCTGCAATATTTGGGTGACTCTTAATAAACTTTGCAAAAGATTCTTTAGCAGTCAACCTTATTTATGACATTTGATAAAAGTTCATAGATTGAATTTACAGTTTGAGCTGTAAGCAAACATTGTCTGGAAAGGAAGTCTGTTGCATTCCCCCTTTTTAAATTTGTTACATTCCCATCCTGGGCAAGGAAAGCGGTGGCTGAGCAAACCGCTGAGTTCCAAGGAGGGGAGATATTTTCTGTGAGAGAAGCAGAAAGTTCTATATGCTGTTTGCTTTCAAGTTCGGTTTATAAGTCCCATTCCAATGAGTCACATAAATTAGATCTATCTGGCAAGGAGACTGCAGATGAGTTACTTACTGCAGCAGACTGTCTACTTGCATTATAATCTTCCATTTTCTGCTGCTTCAATGGCTTGGATGAACTATGTGCTGCAAAGTGTGCACACTGTCTCTTTCTCTTTTTCCCCATTCTTAAAAATCCTAGCTTGTTAAAATGTAGGTAAAACACAATGGCAGCCTCTCCAATATATATGCTTTTATAAAAAGTCATACAAGGGTTAAAATGGGTTAAAACTGGGCTAAAAATACAAAGTTAAAAAAACCTTTACTTTTGGAGGCACTCTTTACAGCAGTGGTTCTCAACCTGTGGGTCGGGACCCCATTTGGGGTCGATCGACCATTTCACGGGGGTCGCCAAGCAAGGCTGTCCACCATTTTTTTTGTCCGCCATTTTTTTCCCCTTTTCCGGCGGGTGCCTTACCTCCCTTGGGCTGGGCCAGCTGGTGGTCAGCCTGCTCCGTCTCTGCTGCTTGCCAGCTATGCCTCGGCCGGCGCAGGGGGCGGAACCACGCATGCACGGCGCTCCCGGGCAGGGAAAGTCCTCGACTTACGACCGGTTGGGTAGTCCTCGACTTACGACCGGTTTAGTCCTCGACTTACGACTGGTTTAGTCCTCGACTTACGACCGGTTTAGTCCTTGACTTACGACCGGTTGGGGTCGCGGCATTAAAAAGGTTGAGAACCACTGCTTTACAGCCTTTGCTGCCTGTTCACCATCTTAGCTCCACTTCCTCATTATGTGATAAAGAATTGTGCAAACAATTAGAACATCATTAGATTATGCTCAGTGCATTTTTATATATGTATGTATATGAGTAGCCTACAATTGGATATTTTACTATTTCTGGCCATATGGCTGTAATAAACTGATTTGATTCCTTTTTTCAAAAGACTGTATAATCAAGGTAATAGTGTTGAGCATTTCTGTAGCTAAAGATGTTCATGTTATTAATTTTATTTTAAAATTGTTCTTTTTTCTAACAAGATAGTGTTTATTTGAACAAGTCATTCTGCCTGCCCTCAGTGGCAAAGCCAGGTCTCTCTCCATATACCTCAAGGTCTAAGGGAACACCAGCTTCAGTTTTTATTTTTGTTTTAATTTCCATTATGAAAAAAACTAAGAATATTTACCGAGTCTGTTGCTGGAATGAAGCTTTGTCTTTTTGTTGACAAACCTTTCAACCACTGAGTATGCCCCAATTTTGCAAATGGAATTTACCTCTGAATAACGGTGTATGCGGTTGACATTGTAAATAAACTTTTTGAATAAGTTGTATCTCAACAGCAAGATGGTCTTCTTAAAGTCTGACATCCTAATTTTTTTCATCATTGTTTTTATTTGAAATAAATTCTTCTAATGATTGCAGGCAAGATGCAATACAATTTTATTTATGTCTATACAGAAGTCACTGTAGCTTGAGTGAAATTCTCTGATAAATATTAAGGATTTATTGAGGAAGATCCAGGCAGCCTAGTACTTTCTAGGGATCCTAGATACCAATACTCATCAACTCCAGTCAAGAAAGCCAGTGGCAAGAGAATTAAGTCAATGCACTGTAAAGAGTACCAGATGATTGGACCTGCTTTAAAAATGCCCCCTGCCAAAACAGTCTACCAAATGTATATTAACTGCAATGCATCAATGGAGATAAATAATCTTGCCAGGGTTTGTGAAGGCCAAAAAGACCTCTTTTTTAGATTACTGAAAAATGAAAGCACAAAAGATCCTGGGGAGTCGGAAGTATCTTTTTGGTATATTTATTTAAATAGTGTTTGCAAATCAGATGTGGTATTTGAGTATTTCCAAGTGGTTTCCCCACCCAATCTTTGACCAGGTCCAGATCTTAGCTTCAGTCAGAGAAGAGTATGTATCACATTGCTCAAATCCATAATCACATATGTAGGTATATTCAATAAAGAAAATACAGCGTACTAAATGAATCACTTAAATCAGAACCATCCATTTTCCAGAACATTCTTTAATAATAAATGCTAAATTTGTATTTCCTAGACTATTAATATTTGAAAGCCCTCACATGAGTTTCCAAATACTGATGAAAAGTAATTGTGTTACATTAAATTGAAATGTTAATTTGTAACCAAATTTAATTGAAGTATCCTGATTTGTTTATCTCCAATTTTATCATTCCTAGTATGAATTTGCACTAAATGAGCTGATTTTCCTAACCAAACATTAAGTAAGGGGAATGGAAGTCTTAATTTCTTGGAGATAAGATTATGTTTTCTGGGCTTATCAGTATTGTAATATCAGTGGAGGTTCAGGTGGAGTGTTATTTTTGCTTCTTATACCAACACTCATCAACAATAAGAATCCAAATACATATATAGCTATAATTCAGACTGAAAAAATAGTTTTAGAAACTAGCAAAAAATTCTAACCAAGTTTGGGGAAGATGTAGATTGTACTACTTGATTAAGGTCATGGTACTAATACCAAATACTTGATTACGGTCATGGTACTAATACCAAATAGTTATAACCATCATCCACAGGACTCATAACCATCATCCACAGTCACTGGAACTTTCCCTGTTGCTGCGATAATGGCATCTTGCCTCCTAGATCATGGCTTTTCAACCAGTGGTACGGGTACCACCTGTGGTACATTGGCACATGGCAGGTGGTACGCGGCCATCCTAGAAAAGTAGCGGGGGAGGGGAATGAGGTGAACCGGTGGCAGCACCGCACAAGCCTGAGCGAGAGATGGCTGGAGCTGCAGGGTTGTCAGGGCTCAGCGGAAGCGCCAGGATCAGTGCCGCTTTCCAGCTGATCGGCGCTTTGGGGCTGTCAGGGCTCAGTGGAAGCACCAGGATCAGCGCCAGGCTCCATCTGGAGCTCGGCGCTGATCCTGGTGCTTCTGCTGAGCCCTGAAGAAGCACCAATCAGCTGGAAAGCAGCACTGATCCTGACGCTTCTGCTGAGCTGGAATGTTGCAGCATCTCCAGGGTCTGGTGATTTACATTCAGATGCTTGGCAACCGATTAATATTTATGATGGTCACAGTGTCCCAGGGTCATGTGAAGTGACCAAAACCTGCTGCAACCACCCAGTAGACGGGGGGAATAAAAACCAAACATACCCCACCCCAGCCCCGTTGCCAATCCTCAACAGACATGCTCACAACAATGAAAACCTTGGACAGGAGGAAGAGTGCCGCCAGGCGCTGTCTTGCTCGGCTGTGGTTGGGGGGCACTTTTTTCAGTGCCATTGTAACTTCAAACAGTCACTAAGCGAACTGTTGTAAGTACTTTATCACTTTTTTCCTTTTTTTTTTTTTTTTGGTCATCAAGTTTTTGACACCTTGCTAGGCGACTGGTGGTACTCAGATGTTGCCATATCCTAAAAGTGGTACAATGGGTGAAAAGGTTGAAAAGCCCTGTCCTAGATGGTCCTGCAATGACACTGGCTATTTCAGACATGCAGGAAACTAGAAAGGACTGCAATTAGAGCACATCAGAATCCTGCCGGCTGAGCAGTCCCTAGCACCAGTGGACAATTCTGGAAAACTTCCTATAGAGCTTTACTGTGTCCCCTGGCTTGAAGCTCCATTTGAAAAAGACCTCTCAAAACAGTGAACCATCTTCTGGTGTCTTCAGAACTTGAAAGCTTACTAATGACATTTTAGCTGATAAAAGCATATCGGTACTATTGTTTGGGGTTTTTTATAATGAAGCAATGCAATAAGTGCCTTT